GATTTCTTCCGACATCACCACATACCTTGTCTTAACAATAGTGTCTTGCCTGTCAATAGCCAAAATGCATGGAAACGTGTTAATAGCATTTGTTTTTCATTTAAGACCAAAAAAATGAATCAAAAGTTGATGGAAGTTTCATGGTATTACAGAGTCGGGTTATCTTCTGAGATCAGGGTCATCGCAGTTGTTGTTCTTAAAATATCCATCAACCAGAAACTCCTGCATGACAAGCTGATGAGGGAAAGCCATGCCGAGAGCCAGGATTGTAGCCTTTCCAGGGTTCACCATCTTCGAGAATCCTTGTTGTGGTTCTTCACTCCCCATGTTTTTCTTTCAATTGAAGCGTTACTGAGTTTTCTCGTATGCTGCTGTATATATATTATGTTCAATGCCATTTTTTTAGAATAAGCTCAAAGGGAGTTGTGGATTGCTGATTCCAAGTAGTGAAAATGTAAAAGGTACCGTTGTTATTATATAGAGAAAGGGTCGTTGAGAAGCAAGAACTTCGTGCACTTGATTTTAACAAGCGTCGGTTGGGGGTTTGGTTTGAGGTTTAGATCTGCATTTTTACTGTATTACTATTGCAAAACCCTTAATTTACTTGGTGGAGTTTTGCCGATCAGAAATAACAAATCTGCATCACATGCCATGCTATTCTACTACCTACAATGTTGGTATGCTTACATCAAGTCGCATATAAGGGTTGGTGTATAAGTTCCATCTTTATATATATATATATATACATAAAGGGTTCGTCTTTGTAAATATGTTAGAAAAAAACCCCTCATACCTTACAATGAATTATAGCCTTGTACTTGAATATATGACAAATGTTTCACCTTTGATATTGAATGCATTATGATGACTCAAAAGTTCATAGAGAACTTTTATTTGGCACAATGCAGAATTAATTTCTAACGTTTATTCGGGTGATCATTTTAATTTTTATTCTTCTTTTAGGACTGATCTCTATCTTTACCACTTGATCAAAATGATCATTATTGGATTAAAACTGTTAGTTAACTAACATTTAATGCATATTACTAATGTGTCATTTTTACATGTGTTGAATTGCTTACATGGGACGAAGCCATTCTTTGTATGGGAGGGGTTATTGTCTCTCCCAAATATTTTGATATAGTAGCATTCTAGGTACCTTTTAATTTATATATTAATCAAGTAAGAGCTTTGTCATTCCCAATTTTTTTTATAGACTCTTATCCTTCTCAATATTCAATCTTAGTATCATGCGTGCTAACATGTTACATGTATGTCATATCATCTAATATGATGACGTGATATGCGTCACATCAATAATTAAATATAAGTATATATGTCATGTTAGTAATATGAATCGGTCGGTCAATCAGTTAACAATTTCCATCTAATAAAAATCATTTTAATAAAAATTTAAAATTTAAAACATTTGGATTAAAATGCAAAAAAGAAAGAATGGGACTAAAATGATCATTTAGATAAACAAAACATTGGAAGAATCATTTTGACATTAAACCCTTTTATTTATCAAAGCCAGATAGCAAATGTCTTGAAAGCCAGATAGATGAAAAGAAGAAAAACAGGGTTGGTAGGTTTCAAGGTGGAGCAGTGATTTGGTAGCATGGGGAAAGCATCTGGAAGAGGCATTTGACAGTTTTCACCATTGAAATACACTCTTCGAGGCAACGCCCAACCATTCCCAAGTGTGAAGGAATCTAAATCCTTAGTAAAATCTGTGTGGACACTGAACCAGGTTCATCTTCCTCAGCACTAATCAGCTCCTCATTATAGTACTCAATTCCCCAGAATAGAGCAACCTCATCTGCAACAGTTCCTCCCATATCAACCCTCATCATTACAAGGAATATTGGAAAATGAATCAAAATATTTGGTTACAAAACAAGTACCTGAGATTCCAAAAGAGGGAAGCATTGTACTGTTAAAGCTATAGGCTGTTGTACTCTGACTGAATCCAGGATGCTGAATCAGCACATTCCAGTTTGAGTAGTTTCTTTTGTAATTGTAGTTTGAGATGGTTAGCTTCACTTTACAGTGTGTGAAGTAGTTGTTCATAACATGCCAGTGAATTCGAACCAGGCACATATGATCTGCATTGCACTGTATCTTGATTACCGAATGAATCCGATTCTCTGGTGGCATTGCATGAAGAAACAGAAGATGAGTGACGTTGAAGGTAGGAAACGATGGTTTTGGATTTCAGATGAAGACAATTTTGACCCACCTTATGCATGAAACTCTGTTTTTATCTGCTTCTCTGCATCCATAGCTGCAATCAGGGCAAAATGTGATCTTGGGGTTGTAAAACGTTGAGAGTGAAACAGCATACAGGTGCTAGATTGGCAACAAAGCTGGAATAAGTGCATGTTGATTTCCATGTTCCTAACAGAAGAAAACTTGATTTGTATGTTACTCGGACTCGAGTGAGAGTTTCGAATACGGGTATTTAGTGAATGAAATGGATAGTAATGGAGTCGAATTGTGTACTTACCGTAAGCTTGGACTTGTCTTTTACCCCCAATATCAGAATAAGCTGTGGGATCAGCTTCTTCAATTGAGCTACAAGTATAACTAGGGCTAGGAGCCATTAAAGTAAGATTGATTGGCGCTTGCACTTTCGGATTCGCCCCCAAGTTTCCGATACTCATTTCGAATGATGACAACGACTTAGAAGCTTTGATAGCCCAGGCAGCAAGAAGATCACCTGTTTGGTAAGGCATCCGGCATAAGACCAGCAATGGGGGATTTTCTCGCAGGAATGCGGCACGGTTTGCGACTTGAATGACGAGCAGTTCCCTTGTTTGGTCGCGAAAGCCCCGGACATAGACAAGATTATCTCATCATTAGCCCATGTCCAACCCAATGTCCAACCAGGTTCATCAACATGGTGATATTGATAGTAATTCTGAATTCAGAAAATATAATATTTGATTATTTTCGTTTTCATTTAATTTAATTAAGACGTGATCATTTTCATTTAATTTCCTCACTTTTTCTTATTAAGGCAGTCAAAATTATAGTGACTAAACATTTAAAAGTCGATAAGGTAAGTGACCACATATTAATTAAATAAAAATGAATATAATCATATCTCAGTTAAATAAAAATGAATATAATCATATCTTAGTTAAATAAAATGAATATAATCATATCTTAGTTAAATAAAAAAGAAAGTGTCATGATATTATATTTTTTGAATCCAACAAGAAAATGTGTACAAAATTAAAACGAAAGTGACCAATTTTATATTTTACCCTAAACTTTAAAGTGTATTATATTAGTTCAAATCACAAAAAATAGGCTTATTGATTAGCTCCTTTCCACTTTTTCCTTCCTTCCTTTCTGCAATAAAAGACTTCCTTTACTAATCAAGCAAGCATAAAAAAGAGATTTCAAATCAAACATAAGATTGAGAGAAACATTATAACAAATTTAGAAAGATGAGAATGTCATGGATGAAACTTACAATATCCCAATGACTAAAACCCTCATAAAACTCCAAGCTTGTCTTACATCATCTTTCATGGAAGATGTGGAGCATTTCTTGAAGCTTATAAGATCAACATCTTACCTTCTTCAACCCGAGATGATGATTTAGATACTAAAAATGATCTTTTTGAACTCTTGAGAATTATGGTTCCTATTGAAGATTTGGGAGAGAGAAGGATAAAGGGAAGATGAAGGAAATGGGGAGAACGAGCTAAACGCTCAATATTTTACCCTCTCCCATGCTCTCAAAAAGTGACAAAATTGAAAAAAATTCAACTTCATTTTCATCAATGATATAATTATCTTTGGTTCATCATCTTTTAATCTTAATTCAAAACTCTCCATTTTTTATGATCCAATCACACCCTATTATCTCTTGTAAACCCATGCTTTGCCTAACAGGTCCACTCATATTTTCTCATCGGTTTATAAATCTATCGGGTCAACTCTCATTCGTTGGCTCAGAAATTCCTCAAGGAGCTTCGAAAGATCAACAATCTTTTACAACATCCTCCTCCTTTTAGGCACGAAAGAAAGATCGTGCGATTCAAAGTGTGCATTAACACTTGTTAACTTATGGTGGATAGGAACGGACACATGATTTTATATTAGGGGAACACATTTTCTTACTCTAGTAAAGGCAAGAGACCAACTTATTATAAATCAATAACGCCGATGACCAATTCGTTACTTTTAAAATATCAATAGGGGAACCATTTACTCTAACGTCAGAAACCATTTGTATAATTCACCTTATTCCCCCCCCCATAAACTATTGATTACTTTGTTTGGGTTTGGATTTGATGATAATGTCATAAGAACGCAAGGGTTTATGATATTTTTACCTGTAGGTTTTAAAGTTTTGTTATTGTTGTATTTTACTGGATCTTCTCAACAAGTTTCATAGACAACTCCGAAACAAACATTATTGCATGTCACAGGAAAGAATTGGCATATTAATTATCTCCTTCACCACCATGAACTAAAACCGGGTCAAGGAGTATAGACGTACTCTGCTTTTATTTCAAAATACAAATCATATATATAATCAAATGTCCTTAAGAATTGAGGATATGCAAAATGTAATCCATTTTTATGAACCAAGTATTGGGTCTAAGATCAACCACTACACTTTTTCTTCCTGAAAGCCAAGTATCAAATGATATATAATTGCTCTACGCAAATTACTGATGCCACTATCAAGTATAAGAAGCAATGTAACGTCTGGTATTCGAAAACTAATGTACCGTCTTTCTTCGTGATCGCCATCAGAGGAACTCACTTGTCAGAGATTTGCCCCTGAACTTCTCGGTGATTGATGCTATAGGAGTTTTGTCCTGCTGAGAATATTCCTTCTCCATGTCATCCAAATGAGCCTTGGTCTTGGCAACCAGTTCCTGAGCACAGGCAGCCTCCTTTTCTTTCTCAGCTAGATTTTCCATTTGAGATTCCAGTTCTTTCTTTACCGACTCTAACGAACTTTCATACTTTACCTTTTGGCTTCAAAGTTTGTAGTTGATTAACAAGATCAACGGCTTCCGAGATTTCATTGAGCGGACCACGCAGCCAACTAACATCAATATTTGCAGATTCAACATCCTTGAGAACAGCAAACATTTCTTTAATTTTTACTTTGGTCAGTTGCTTGAATGAAGTGAACTGAAGATCTTGAACTACAGCACACAAGCACTCTAAATAATATGCACGCATGGAAGCAGATTCCAACTGACAGTTAGCTGCTATGTCTCCATGTTTATCGAGAATTGACTGTAGGGTTGAGGAGACGCTTGCTTTCACATTGTATTTTCCAACTGATACACATGAATCAGAAATAACAGATTGACATCTTCCTGATCACTGTCTTCTAAAGCTCGAATGATCCCTGAGAAACTAAAAGTTAAGCTAGTTGCATCCTCGGTATTTGCATCTGAACTTACCTTTGCGGAATTTAGAACCTTCTTTGCTTCATATTTGGTATCACCAGGAGACTGCCAAATAGGGGAGGATTTACATGCATAAAAATGTGGGAATTACTAAACTTTCACATGTAAGGGTTTGCGAGTTCATGAAAAAAGTGAGGGACCAACCGTGATTTTGTCAGACATAGGCAATGGTTGGGAGTACTGAATTTGGGCCTTGTCGGAAGATTGATCTCGGGAATAAATCTCTTCAGAGTGTCGCTCAGAAGAAGAAAAAGACTCACCATTCTCTTCTTCCATCTTCTCCCTATATAAATGAGACTGAAGGGATTTCTGGTCACCATGGTAAACTGCGCCTAGGGCAGGAGCAATCTCAAGTGCTTGAGGGGATTTCGGCTGAGACTCAGATCCCTTCTTTTTCCGGTCAAAGCTTTTGGAACCATCAACAAATTTGGAACCTACAATGAGAAGACTGTAGTCATGAAAATATAACAGTGAATTTGTGCAAGTTGAAAGAAATCAAACATCTCGAGGGAGAATCAAATCGTTAGATGTCATCAAGCCTGTGGAGATACACCTAAAAGGTGTATCCGACTTAAAATTACCTCGAAACAGAATATCTTAATCATGTACAAATACAACAAATCTCTTAATCATATCATCAGAAACCTGATTCTGCTATGGCCTCTGTACTTCTTTCGAAGCAATTTTCATCACATTCATGATATGGATTTGATGACTTTATGCAATTTTGGTGCACTCGTCCCTTGTCATTCTTCTTTCTGATAGAGTCACCTTGTTTTATACCGTTGCGATTATCTAACAAATAAAAAGACATAGACAGCTAGTTTTAGAAGGAGATCAACACAACTTAAAATAAAGTAACTTTTAATAATGATTGGAAACCTGATTCTTTTACAATCCCCAGAGTAGCAGCTCTGGAAGTTTTCTGGATGCAATTTTCATCGCATTCATGGTAAGGGTTAGATGCTTTAGGGCAATTTGGTTGCGCTCTGTTCCCATCATTAGTCCTTTTGTTATGCACAGCTTCTCCTTTACCATAGCGGTTACCTAACAATTCAAGACAAAACCCCGTTCTTAGAAAGTGATTAGCAAAGCTTTGATTTTTACCTTGTTCTTATATCATTGAGATAAGCTAACAAAACCAAAGTTTCTAGGTTAGACTTAACATGTCTATATCTGCCAAGAACCAAGGGAACCTTAATGTTCAGGTATAGACAAAACTTATATTCTTCATACTCAACCAAGCTGCATTTGATACCGAAACAAAGATATTTTCCAAATATATCTTTTCCCTCAAGTCGAGCCAATAAAGACATAAAACGGCATGTTCCTTATTCATACTTTCTATCACGCAATTCAAGCTATCCTTTCTAGATTCATGGTCTCTGCTTTTTCTTCAGTGACCACATAAAAGATAGACGAAACCTCCTCTACATGGATGATGCATTAAATAATTTCACTTTTTAGACTAATTAGTTCCACACATCAACTTTTATTTGTTTACTTAAACCATCAACTAGATTTCAATCATCCACCTTGCATAAATCACGTCAAATCAATCGTGAACCAGCAGTTCATGAAGGATAAGGGATTCCAGTGTTTTCCTATGCAGTCCTAAAACTAATTGATCATCTTCGAAAATGCTAAAAAAATAATTATAATTGAACAACTTCAAGGGATTCTGTGGAATAACATGTTTTGTAAAGATAAATTCAGAAAAACGAGCATGAGGGTGAAAGATTAATTACCTAAAATGACCTTTTTGTCATTTTCTTTATATCCCTTGCCATCAGTATTCTTTTCTAGGCAATATGCACCACATTCATGGTAGGGATTAGCAGCTTTAGCACAATTTTGGTGTACTTTTCCATTCTCACCCATATCTCCTTATTGTTGATTCCGAGCTTACCTGTATAAGAAATCAAAATAAATTAGCACAAATCCAACTCACTAAAAGCTATCTCATGCCATTGCATAGGATGCTCGAAGATCATAGATTGCTATGATCTCCCATTTCTTAGTCAGAATCTTTATCATACACCAACTCTTTTATCGTTTATCGAAATACCTTAAAACCAAAATCCATTTGTAAATTTACAAAGATAATTCAAGTTTAATCTAAAAGTAACAAAGTATGAAAAAGAACTTGAAAAGTACCAAGCATGAGAAATCATTACCATAGATTAGGTAAAGGGGAACGAAATATGGTAAACAACAACCGTTTCTCTCCGATAAATAAGCAGCCAAAAACACTTTTTGCCTTTTGTTAATTTAAATAAATCAAAACCAAAAAGTTAAAAAGTCAAGAAGAACAAAGAAGACCAAAAGAAATCCCAGAAAACAGAAGCTTTAGAACAGCAAGATTCTTTGCATTTCCAAGCTCTTTCTCCCCTTCCAAACAGAGGATAATTGTATTCCAAAAGAACAAAACATCAACTAAAAAATCTCATCTAATATATAAAAAAAAAAATCTCGTAAAACAACTCAGACAAACATAAACAACATACAAGCAATTGAAATTAATAAATAAACCAAAGGAGAGAGGGAGAAGGGAGGAATACCAGAAGGGGGGGGGGGGAATACAAAAGAAGAGAAGAAGATGGGTATGAGAGTTTATGGTTGACAGTCTTGTATCATAAATAAAGTTTGACCAATGAACCCTCCCTGAATAAACAGAAACCAAAATGAAATTCTCTCTGGTCTTTGAGATTGTCGCACTTTGACCCTCTCCCAGATTCCTTCTAGATTGTTTGTATCATCACAGTATTTTATTTCCTTCTTATACATTAAGTATGTAATTACTATTTTGCTGTAAGAATGGAAAGAATATGTGTCATTCATCTGTCCCCGTTTTTTCACCATTCCATTCTGTTTTTTTTAATTAAACTAGAATGATTAGGAGTAGAGACAAAATCATGATTTTAGTTCAAGAGATAAAATATAATTAACAATATAAAATTAGGATAAAATTATAATAAATTCAAAATTGAAGTCTTGAATGGTAATTTTCCAAAACTTTTAATGATAAAAAAATTTGAGAGAGGGGGCCTTGCAATGGCCCAAGGTACCGCGTACCTCCGTCCTTGATTACAAGTAGAATTAGTAATATAAAAATTATTTGATAATTAATGTTTAAATACCATATAATTGTCGTCGCTTAAACTTAAGATCTATAAAAATAACATTTATCCTTTAAACATTAATGTTGCTTAGTTTGTGCTTCTATTATATTTTCTATTAAGTCATTTGTTTTGTAAAATTAAATTTGGTATAATTATCTATATTTGATAAGTATTACACATATATTATTAGGGATGTGCACTAGACTCGAACCGAAGGTTTATGATATGACTCAATTGAGTCAGAGTTTTTTAGGGTGAAAAATATTTGACCCGACCCAATCCGAAAAATAATTTAAATTTACCTTATATACTTAGAGATAATTGTAATAATAACCCTTTATTTATTATTTTTTCAATTAGATCACTATTTTTATTGAATAAAAATAATATTTATATATATCAAGTCAGGTCAGTTGGGTTTCGGGTGAATGATATATTTTTTGGTCGAATCGGATTGATCGAAAACCCGACCCGAAGTCGACCCATACCCATCTCTATCTTTTACATAGACGACCATTCCAATACAATTTACTCCATTTATAACATTAAGATTTAAATTTTCAACCTTAAAAATTTAATCATCATCTTATTATACCAATAAGTTGTTGGTATATAAACACCTTTTAATAGATTATATGATTGTATCAATAGAAATATTTCTACACTTTTAATTTTTTTTTATTTTTAAATTAATATCTATTAAATAATTTAATTATATCTATTTTTTAATAATCTACAATGAAATATTTTAAATACTTAATCTTTTATTAACTATCAATATTTATTTATGAAATAATTAATCTAATTATAAGGATATATTATAAAAAATACTATCCAAGTCATTGTATTATATTCATTCACCATACTATTATTGATATTTCTAGATGTCTTTAAAATTTTATTTTAATAATTAAGTGAATATTTAATTTTTAACAACTAAAATTTATTTTATTAAAACATCTGAATTGAATTAATATAACGATTCAAATGATACATAAGTTTGAATTGACTGTTTAAGGTGCAGAAAATAGAACACTCGCTTCACATTTATTACTTAACCTAACATTAAATTAATTATACAAAACCCATATCTAAAACGTGTCCTACCATTTAATATTTGGTGTTATTATAAATTTGCGCTGGCTGTAGGCGTAGCTGCCAAATTCGTCGTATAACTTATAATTATTTTCTGTGAAATGTTACCACAAAGAGACTTTCTTCTATATCAATTTGATGTGTTGAGGTGATACCACGTAAGCATGATATTCCACGTTTGGTAATGATGTTTAAAATATTTTTATTTAGAAAAATTATTTTGATCGTAAAGTTAATGTTATTCGGGTAAAAATTTAATAATTGTAGAAAGGGTGATTCTAATGAACCGAAAAAGTTTATTTGTTTGATTCTGGAAAATATTATTATTTTGTTTTCTATTTTATTTTCAAAATAATTTTCATTCTCAGTTTTTTAAAATTTAGAAAACATGTTAGTTATATAGATGAAAATTTAAATTCAAAAAATAAAAATAGTGGAAATATATTTAGTATCAATTTTTAAAATATAGATGAACAAATAGTTATTAAATAATTAAATAAAATATAATTATTAATAAATTTAACTTGTGAGTTATACAATTATAAAAAATAAAATTATTAAGATATTTAACACAAAAATTGTTTTAGTTTATAATAAAATATCATTAAAATAAAAAGTAAAAATATATTTAGTGATGTTTAAGGCCCTCAAACTGAGAAAAAAAATTTGCGGACTTATTTATTTTTTAGAAAAATAAGAAATTATTTAAATTTAAAATATAAAATATAAATAATTATTAAGATACTCGGTATATTAAATATAAAAATATTTAAAAAAATCAGTTTAAGGATCACATTGAATATAAAAAATTTTAGGGACTATATTGATTTTTTTTTAAAGTTTGAGGATTTCATATACCATTAAGTCAAAAATTTATTGTTAGAAGGATTTGAACTCGTGTAAGTTAAGTTAAAAAATCTAGATTTCATATTTTCTTATTTCTAAATTTTTAAAAATAACTTTAATGAAAATACTTAAAACTTTTTTATGTTTTCATATTTTTGCTTAATTTTGTTTTCATTTTCTGGAAATCATTTTCTGGAAATCATTTTGTTTGCTAAGGAAATTAAAATGAAAATACCCTATATTTTTTAAAACCAAACAAACCCTGATTTTTAGTTTTTTTTTTCATTTTAAACTTTGCGTTTAGAAATAAACTTATATTTTTACTCTTTCTAATCAAATTTTGGGAGGAAGCAAGTTTCACTAGCTTCTATTTGTAGTTTTGTACAACATGCAATGATGCATATCCTAGAAAAGCTTGATAATGATCATGCAAATGAATAATTACAGGTTTCACAATTTGAAATTCTCCTACTCCTACCTTAGATACACAGAAACCAAGAAGTGGGAGAAGAGGATGAATTCGCCGACAACGGTAGTCGGAGAGTGTATTCCAAGAAACGGGACGATATCTACCTGCAACCAGTTTTCAACAGCCGATCTAATCAATGTAGCCTTACCTGCAAAGACAAGGAGGAAAACCTAAGTTTTAAACAAATGAAATTTGTACAATCACGCAGCCTAATCTATTCGCATGCTTTGGCAGAAATGAGCATAAAATCCCAATGGCATGCCAACTTCCTTCGGCTCGAGCAAAGCATGAAAACTTAGCTCAAAGAGAGAAATGAACTAAGAATCTTATATAGCGAGCAATATAATCCATATGCATGAAACCTCATTACCTAACTTCACATTCTTCCGGCTCGTGAAATACAAGGAAGCACCAAAGCTACTTGCTAAGATAAGCCCGGGAACGTCAGGTCTGGCATAAGGAATCACCGAGGATGTAGAAGCTCCGTTCACATAAGTTAGAACCATAAGTGCTCCATACACACTGGCCTGTATTCCCAATTCACTAGAAACTGGAGTTTCCACTGAAACAGGTAAATTCTTCACAGTTGTTTGTACCCACCGAGGCATCAATTCCACCCCGGGAGGGTTAACAGGTTTAACATCTGCTTATCAAATGCTTCTGTCCACGACTTTCCCAGTTCGTCGTTGGGTTAAGCTCCGCATGAGCAGCATATCATATGCAGCCTCAACCTAAAACATAAACAACAAAAACTAAAGACAACCATACAGTACATATTTATCAGGAAAAAAAAATGGTGGTTCTTGTCTATTGAATCTTCTTAGTTAAGTGAAACACAGATATAGATGAACACCATAAGCATCATATTTTTATTTCATGGCAACAAAATAATAAGCATTTGTCTAATCCAGAAAATGGGAAAGGTTCAGGTAATCGACATTCGACACAAAGTAAAAACTGAAATCCCAAATTTGAGAATAGAAATAAATATAGGAATTTGCAAATTTCCATAGAGAAGATTGGGAATGCTAACAAGTAGAAAAATGAACAAATTTACACAAAAAGTTGAATATTCTATCACCCAAATCTTTCTAACGTTAGAAAATTGTCAAACTGAAAAGAGAAAGGCAATGAATAAAACTCAGCAATAGCTCCTTGGTCATCCTTAATAGAGGCAACAATCGAGTGCTTGGCGAGAAGAATATCATCAAAAGAAGCACTTTCGGAGACTCCAAGGAGCTTGAGTGCGTTCTCAACAGACATCTCGAACGGAGCCGAGTCATCGGCTCGTGAACCAGCTCGAGCGGCTAATATTCGCCGGGCGTGGAGGATTGGCGCGGCTCTCCAGGGCTCGGTCTTCGTGGATTTAAAAGAAGGATGTGTTTGGTTGACCGGCGGTCTAGGAATAGAGCTGCCCGGAGTGAGACGGTTCGGCCTGAAGGAGAGTGTAGCTGCAGCCATATTTGGAAAAAAATACCTTCTTTTATTTTTGAGGGCAACAAAAAATCTAAGGTGAATTTAATCAATCGATCAGACATGAGAAAAAGCTTATGCTTTGCGCTTGGGTCAGGAGTATGTTTTCTTTTGATTAGGACCGTTCAATTGTCTGACCATATGATCCTTGTAAATTTTCTTCTTATAAACAGTGCATTAAAAATTCAGGAATTAAAACAAAACTGTCTTTTTAATAGATCTCAGGCATGGCATAGCTTAAGATGAGAGCACGCGGGTGAGTATTCTATTGAATTAAATTGAGTTAAAAAAATTATGAATTATTTAGGTTGATGAATTTTATCTTATAATTTTAAATTTTATTTAGTTTTTTTGAGTAGATTGAATATTGATTTAATCTTGAAAATTAATTTATTAATTATTAAAATTTTATTTTATAATTCGATTTAAGTGTAAAATATTTTTTTCCACTCGAATTTCTAAAATTATGAAATCAAGCCGAGGTTTTTTCGAATCAAACGAAATAAAAAAATAATAGTTTTTTAAAGTAAAATCGAGTTTTATCCATCGGGAGGACATGTTAAAATGAAAGGGAAAAAACCACTAAAAATTTGTGGCTATGAGAGTGAACAGTGAACACCACGTCTCTAATTTCTGGACAGTCCCTTAATTAAACAAAAGAGAGAGTAGGAGCAGTTGAAAGGCGTCACGTTGAAGAACAAACGTGAAGAAAACCATGTTGGCTATGAGTAAATGGTTCACGCTGACACCTTTTATGTCAAACAGATACAATAAGAGAGTTGGGTTTTTAGGCAGAGCTGATTCTGTTCGAGTCCATGCCAATGGAGGAGGAGACAACAACAGTAAAAGCATCGACAAGAGGAAGAAAGTTGTTGTGGTTGGTTCGGGGTGGGCTGGTCTCGGTGCTGCTCACCACCTCTGCAATCAGGTACTTAGTCCACTATCAAAATAGCAGCCGTTATATAGCGGTATCGTCCAAAACAGTTATTGCACTACCGCAGCGGCTATTTAAATCCCTACTTGCTATATTGCTTATAAGGGAAATAATGTTGCCTTTCCTTGATTTAACTTTCAGTTTTGTGATTTTTTTGCTTTGTTTTCAGGGATTTGATGTTACAGTTATTGATGGAGGTGATTGTATTGGCAATCCAGATGATCTCGGCATCCAAGGTAAATCATTCCAACACCAATTTTGATGCTTTTCTGCCATTATTGAATCATACAGATGCAGTGTAAGCAAATAACAGAAATCCCATATTCATTTGCCACAGAAGGAATGGTTTTCCCATTGATAAGAATCAACGACGAGCTTATATAACTGTGAACTTTGTTTCATATGAATCCCATTTTCTAGAACTATAGGCTAAGTTAGCAGTGGTGCAACCACATCTTTGTTCTTGATGTTAGACTTAGAGGACCTAACAGGTCTCAAAATATTTTGATTAATTCACTTAAATTTAGTTGTACAACGTTGTGCAGTAGTATACTTTATGTTGCTCCAATAACAATTTGTTTATTAGATTCTCTCATTGAAGATTGAGGACTGATCTCCATCTTTTGTTTGGGGGGATAGGGTTTTGGTATCCCTATAAAAATATATTTAGTCTTGTTGATGAGTTGGGTTTAAAACCCTTCACTAGCTGGACAAGATCTGCACAGTATTCAGATGAAGGATTGGAGGTATTTACCGGGAAGTCTGCAGGTTGAATATCATTAGCCTCCAATAAAGTTGCTTGTGGTTTTCTAAACGGATTCAGGATAACCATGCAGGTCGAATTCCCGGTGTACCAGGAACTCCCACAATTGCCAACTCCATTGGGAACCTTGTACCTCACACAAGTATTTCTTAATTCCATCTTCATGTTTTTTGTTAGACTGTAAAGTCATACTTCTCTTTTTTAACATTTGGAGATTGTACCATATTTGCAGTTCGTCAGGCTCCCGTTCCTGGATAGATTATCATCACTTCCTCTGATGGCTTCAGGCAAGTAGCAATGATTCATTCTCCTTGACGAGAGGCGAATATCGTAACTTGATGTTTAAGCTATTGTTCTATGTCGATCTTTCTTCGCTTTCTAGTTATTTCAGTCATCAGTTGACTCCTCTTTCTGTTTCCAGTAATCGACTTCGACAACACCGATGTTGCCTGGAAAAAGTATGATTCAAGTAAGGATTCCCTTTCTGTAGTAGAATCCATCATTGAGGTGAACTTTTCAAGTTCCTTATTCAGAGCTTTAACTGGTAGTTACTGCAAGGGAGCTTTTTAAACAGTTTGGATGCTCCGAGAGGCTCTATCAGGATATTTTCAGTCCATTACTTCAAGTGGGTTTGTTTGCTCCAGCAGAGCAATGTAGTGCTGCAGCAACTCTTGGATTGCTGTATTATCTAATTCTTGCCCACCAGGTTTGATTGTTGAAATCTTCTATATCCGATCTTTTATCTGTTCGTTCTTCGAATGGAATCGGTGGAGTTTTATTTATGGATGGTTATAGAAGCATTTCGATGTAGTATTTTGCCGTGGCTCCACAAAGGATATGATCTTGGAGTCTCTGAAGGCTAAAGGTTGTGAAATACTGGAGGGTAAAAGGGTGACAGATTTCAAAGTTGATAAGGAAACGGGTTGCATAACGGAAGTAGTTTCGGGCAAAGAGACCTACACTGTTGATGCAGCTATATTGACTGTCGGGATTGCCACACTTCAAGAAACGATCAAGAACAGGTTTTCCCTTCTGGACTTTTCTTACATAGGATGCATTTTCATGCAATATAGTTTTAGTATGTTAATATGTTGATGGAAAGCTAAGTTCAAAGTTTTGATTAGATGGTCATCCATGCTTTATGTTTTCTCCACATCTTTAGTATAGTTTTAGTGGTTCAGTTGATGGCTCTTTTCAGCTATCCTGTTTAACTGGCAGTTGAGTCCTGTTTAGTGCAGCATTATGTAAACAGGAAGAGTTTCGTAAAGTTCTGAACTTGGCCGGCGTGGATTTGGTTACCGTCAAGTTACGGCTGGATAGGAAGGTCGGTGCACAGATCTTCCCTTGGTTTAGAACTGAATATCATGACAGAAATCTTGTGCATTTCTGTAGTGGATTTCCTTGTTTTAATCAAGACTATGCTTTGACAAGGTGCTAAAGTTGACATTATGTATTGAATACACCAGGTTTTCATCCCGAATTCGAGCAACGCTTGTGCTGGGTTCGATGATCTATTTGGGTGTACCTTCTTTGACTTGACCGCAATTTATGATGAGCATAAAGGTGATACGGAAACCATATTACAAGCTGATTTTGTAAGTTTTTGCATTCAAACATGGATTTATCTTTGTCATTGGAAGGAAAGAATTTTGAAACTTGTACTAAAATATGGATATGATCTTTATCTTGCCATGCAGTATCATGCCAATGAGTTTCTGCCTTTGAAAGATGAACTTGTAACTGAAAAAGTCATGTCATGTCTTTCTAATTGCATAGATGGCCTTGAGAGAGCCAATGTGGTGGACAAAGAAATCAGAAGGTTTCCGAATGGATTGACTCATTTTTTCCCAGGTGAGTAATCAACAGCCTAATCGAATCTAACCATGATATTTGATGACAACGAAGGTATGTTTTGCCAAAGAATTTATAACTTCAGGCTTAAAAATTAATCTTGCAAGATGTTTTAACAACCCAAGGAAGATTATGATGAGGATGTGGGGGAAGAAAACCTATAAATATACCCGATCAATATCATCTTGTACCTTTTTCAAGCATTCTGCAATATGTTTTACTTTTGGACTAAATCAACACCTAATTCTGTGTTCTTGCTTCTTGAAAAGGTTCGTACAAGTACATGATGAGCGGATCTACATCATTCCCTAATTTGTTTATGGCCGGAGACTGGATTATAACCCGACATGGTTCCTGGTCACAGGTTTGCTTTTCTGATCTCGAATTGCATATCATTTAGAAAGGGACTTTGAAAGAATTATATAACCGGTTCGAACACGGTTTCCTGTTTCTTATAATAGGAGAAAGAATTGCCAGAGTGATTCCTGTGGAGGAAGATGAGCCTCACATCGAAGCACTTCGCAACTTAAATAGAAGGCTTAATGAGATTATCAGCCAAGTTCCGTTGTCCGGTTATTTTCTTCAATAGATCTAATACAAATAACTTATGCAAATTCCTACATTCATGCAGCATATTTCACTTATGAATTGGGATATTATGTATAGGTAAAAATAATTATTATCGACTTCAATATTAATAATGCTCAGGAGATAACTTCCTTTCTTTTCCATCTATTGTACAAAAGTTTACAAGGGCATCCGTGCTAAGAAAATTAGGAAAGGATCCATAAAAGAAACCATGTAATAAATGTTTCTAGTGCAAGGAGATCATGATTGCTTACGATAAACATCAGCCAGCTTTCGATGTTCTTACCACCAGAGGCAGGGTAACAGAATCAAGATTCCTGGGATAGGGAGTCCACAACCCGAATCCACCTCTACTTTCTTTCATGCTACTACCACTGCCCCTGAACTCAAGCTTTTCACCCACTCTAATTTAGAAGAATGTTCCCGGGTATGCGGGTGCAGGACAAAAAGTGAGTAGTACTCGCAATATCGAAACATAAAGAACTTAAACAACCCCTTTAACCTGTATACAACGTAGGCAAAGCTCAGCTGGTCTCTAGGTGTGAAGAGATTAACCTCATTGAACCACAAGCAATAAACAAATTATTCAATGCGGTATGTTCCCTTATAATTATGGCTCCCTCAGGCACATCTGCATTTAGTTTTTGTGTTAGTACCAAGAAACATAAAATGCATCAATAGAAGAAAAAAAAAAAGAATGTTACGCATCCTTTATGAACTCTGGAAGGTCATGCACTTCACTACTTAAGGTAACCCTTCCATAATTCATAGAAGAACACCATGTCTCTCTTCATACCGCTAATCGTATTTTTCTTCAAACTCCATGGCTCCATTCCCTCAGAGTAATATATCTTCATGTGCAGATCAATAATAGGTCTGGCATATCGCTTCCTCCGCTTGTTTGCATCAGCCTCCTCATATATACTCCTATGATGTTTGTGCTGAGCAATAGCATAGGTATGCTTATCACGCCATAGGTATCTGCCAATAGAAATATTCATATAATCCAACAGTCTCTGCATCAAGATAATTCAAACATTCTATAGCTAGAAAAAGGTTAAAGCAATAAGCTACATAGTTCATAACAGTTCAATAAGATGACAATATCTTTGCAGGTCGTCTTTCCTCTCATTAGTCAACAAGGAAAATAATGGAAAAAGCAAAGTTGTTAACAATTTAATCAGACATGAATATATCTTTCAAGAATGAGCAATGGATCAACTATCAGCTCCTTTTTGCCATCAATCCAAATGCTGTACTGTGCTTGAGGGAATAACCTGTGGGTTAAAATTTTGGGAACCTTCCCTTTCCTTCTGGGTTCATCATAAGGTGGATGCTTCAATGGGATAAGACGCCATATACCTACCCACATCCCCTTATCTTTATCCTTCCTCACGGTCACATTACTTTTAATAAATTTGAGAGATACTTCATCAACAACCATCAGAAAACAGAAGAGCTTCTTAGAACGAGTACTTATATTTGATGGCTGATGAGGCACATCATATCCATAAAAAATCCCAGATGCAACCACAAACCTACATCTGTTGACATATTCGATGTCCACAGGATTCATGTCAGCACCACCATTTTGCAGAAATCCACAGTGCACCTAAACGGACTTTTTTTACATGATAAACCACTTAAATCAATTTCCAGCCATCTATTTTGTCTGGTGTTCTTCCGTCTGGAATAACTATTTTGTCAGGGTCATCAACTACTAGAATTGGACAACCTATTAGATTAATTTACAATCAATATTACTCATTAAAATGGAGTGATCAGCATTTTGATAAACAAGAGTTTGCATGAACTTTACGATGTTCTGGTTTCGGAACCAATCCAAGCAAGTCCATTGCAATGAATACATTGCTCTCTTTGTTACACGTGGCTGAATATGAAGGGAACAACACATCGTCTCAAACCAATAAGAAAAAACGGTTACAATTTACAGGTCGAAAATTTAGATTGCTTGGGACATTTTCACTAGTTATGAATATAACCTTGATAAATGAAAAATCCTGACTAAATCAAGAATTAGCAGAGGACAGCAAAAAGGAAGCCAAAAACCTCCCTAATACAGAAAAGAATCAAACCAATCTTTATATCCCAAGTACTTATCTGATTAATTAATTAACAAATATAAAAGATGTCACTACATCAAACAAACATCATTCATTAAGTAATGTAATTATGCTGCTGTTCAACGTTGAAACATAAATTTCAGTCAAATTTACAATGACCCGTTGCCGGAGCAAAAGTTAGTGCACTAGATCAGTATCTGTTCAAATTTTAGATCAAAATAGCAGAAAAGCAATATGAACTCTATTCATTATCCTAACTCGTATTTCTGTAGAAACTAACAGAATTTGACTATTTAAATCCGAACAAGATAAACTTAGGAACACTCGAAAGTAAAGACAGGTCAAATAAAAAAAAATGAAACCGTACCTGACAAGAAAGAAATCGAAGATTGGCAAGACCAAACATGAAACAATAACACAATAAGAATAAGTAACATCCATAGAATGCCTGCGACAAGAACCAATCGAACAAACTCCTGTTTACACACAGTCTTGATTGCACTATCTTGCGGCAACCTCATTGAAGAAAACAAACCACTTTCATCATCTGCATCAAGACAATCCAAAACCCTAAAAAATTGCATCTTATTAAGTGATGCCGAAATCCAAAATCCTTGAAATGAAGCAGGTAGCAGATACAAATTACCCTTTTAAAGACTAGAGATATACAAACATACAACATAAACCAATGGAATAATCATGACCCAAGTTTTCACGAAAGTTTTATAGATTCTACTTACCTTTAGAAAATGGGCGTTGATTATTCCGCTCCCTACGGCTTAACCGATAAGAATGAGGGGATTGGAGCTTAGTATCCATTAGTACTCACTTTCACATCTGTAAAATCTGAAAAAATGAAATGGTAAGTTGAAGATCATTACATCATATTTACAACACATAATATTATCATTCTACTGAGAAATGCTTGCTGAAAACTGAGGTGTATTGATGACATTCATTGTCATATCAACTGCATTTCCAAGAGAATACTTGATGTCCTTCTATTCTGATCTGAGGTTGCTCAAAATAGGTCCATTGTTGAAAAGAAAGCACTTGCCTGGTCATTCAACTCCTCCAACATTCACCGTTAGCTTGAGAAATCCTTTGAGACGGGCAACACCCGACCGGTGGAACACTTACTATGCCGAACTTCCGTGCCCCGAGACTAATTAGATTCTGCATATAGCATTACTTCAGTTCAAACTGATAAATATAATTGCTTGTTAAACATGACATAGCTGTTCATCTTAAGCTGTGTTACTCGGACTTTGGTTGAGTGTCGAATACAGGTACAACGCCTACAACTATTTATATGTGTGTTAGTCACTGGTGACCTAAACAGTTTTGTGATTATACCTTAGGATCTCTTATATGATGCAGATGTTATTCAAACAAGAAGAAAGAATGAAATCTCTCACCCTTAAGACTTTCTCATGTATAAGTCCTAAATTCGGTATGAACCGTTCTTTTGGTATCGGATTGCTTGAATAGTAATTCCCCAGAATGTCATTGTTACCAATGCTGATGAAGAACAGAGACTTTGAGAGAAACTTTTCAGTTTCTGATGGACCTTTGAATGCCAAGAGATCATTTGTAAACTATAGAGAATTGGTACAACTGTTCCCCCATAGGTACAAAATTCTTTCCCTGTGCCTAGAAAATCGATTTAGGATGTGTTAATTGAAAAGATATATCGAGAAACCAAAGTTTCAATTTAAGTTGTGCAGAAATCAAGAGGCCTTACCATTGTTTGACCGGTCGAGTCGAGAATGCCACATCCAGCTGAGGAGAAGTTTATACCCCGGAACTTAGGCCTCTTAACAGAAGATGTTACGTTCTGAGAAAGAAACGTTGGTGGACTTCTCTTGAAACCAAATAGTTTAGCTGGCAATGATGAATGATCACAGCTTTTCATGTTATAAGAAGCAGTTTGCAAGTTTCGAATTCGAATGTGGATATCTGAAAAGGATGGGAGTAGAACTAAATAGTAATGTACTAACCAAGATAATCGGCAGTATTGAAGCCAATTGCTGAATCTGCCGGTTGCCCTTGCAAAAGGGAAATCGACCCCATTGAGCGGGAAGTTAGCTTTTATGTTACTCTGAGGCAAGTAATTGTTGGTTCCGATATTGGATGTCGAGTCTCCAAGCACGAAGATGGCCGGCACTTCCCCATTTGCTAATTGAAGAGCACCAGCCATGACCAATAAGAACATCACTGCCAATACAAACACCTTCTCCATGGGAATTTGAGGAAAGAAATTGGTTTCCCTTTAACCCTTTTATCTATATTATCATCATCTTACCAACTATTTATATGCAGATAAGTCATAGGAAACCATAGGAAATACCGTCACGGTGGTCCAAATTACGAGTTTATATTTGCTGTTATGTGCTATTTGGTGGAAGACAATATTCCAAGGACGGATTGACCGTTTCTTCAGCCTTTCTTTCTCATAATTGAGTTATTTGGATTTTTGTTATGATAGAGACAAGGAGACCTGCTTCATTTGTTTACAAATATCCTTATATATAAACGAGCTGGTTCATATGGATGGTGAGGGTATTTAGTTACGGTACTACTCTCGGAAATTTTAATTTTCATATAATTTGAACATTTTTTTTTATTTTCCATCAATGATCTAATTTTATATACCCTGAAATTTTATAATTCCATACTCTCTAAATTTTTTATATGACTTTCTAAATTCACACGTCTAACATAAAGTCACAAATAAATCCTTACCGGTTAACATTACCATTCTTCAAAAATAATATCTATCAAGCTCGGAATTTGAATACGATATCTACATGTCTTTTAGTACAGTAATATAACTATGTCTTTTTTTTTATTGAATGTCATGTAGAGATTTTTATGTTAACATTTGATACACGAATTCAAATAAGAATGTTTCCTCACCAAAAGAATGTTTAATTTAATACATTTATTTGGAAACCTTTAGTTACAAATCCAAATACAAATTGAAAAAAGATTTGAGTTGGGACCTCAAAGTTGTGCTCATCTCATACTTGGTATAAAAGGTTTATTCTAACCAATTTCTCTCATAGTAGCCAAATACGAACTCGAAGTTTTAACTTAAAAGCAAACTTATAAAATTTTAGTAAACATGTTTATAAAATTCGAAAAGGTAAAAATAAATTATCAAAAAATATATATATATATATATAATAAATAATTAAATTAAATAAGAATTAGACATCTTCGGGAGTCGACTTTCAATCCATCCCAGGGTGCTAAATTTTCAGAGAGTTGAAGTGCTTTTGCTATGGGCTCTGCCGCAGAGCAAAGCATTGTTTGGAATGGGAAATTCGTCCCTGAGTGAGTTCACAGCTGTGTAAACCCTCAAATAAAATTGTTGCCCAAGATATTGCCTTGCCCAGAACTCACTTCTCACGTTCCACATTCCAACATTATCAACAGCTATGTAAATGGAAGTCCATGATCTAGGGTATACCTGTGCAAAACAACACCCATTATTTTAGTTCCCTCAAACATGTTGGTAAAGGTGGACCAAAACATATTGATCTATCAAGTTTTCTAACCTGTGTGGTTGATCGAGAAATTGCATCTCTTAAATTATATTGTTCACGACAGTTCGGAGTCCACAATCCTCCATTCATGCTGCAATTCACAAGTAATGTTAAGTTGAGCGAAATTTTCGAGGATGAGACGAGTCAATTAGTTGTTTTGGACAAAAAGTTGAAGTTGTTTTTCAATACTAAAACACCATTAGGCTTGCAACGATTTTTTGATTGCGAACCGGACATTTCTGATTCAATAGAGACAGTTGGTCTTAACACAATAAGACATTAACTCAGAAATGTCCAAATTCCATTCAAAAAATCTTCACATGTCTGCAAATATTTCAGCTTTAAGAAACAGTTTTAATTGTTTATCAAAGAGGTCTAATTTGACTCCTCTCATCCTCGTATCGTATTCTAGTTTGGTTATTAGTATTCAAGTTCTTACCCCACAACCCAAAAGGCATATCCATCAATATGCCAGCTCTGGACACTGTTTTCATGGTTCTCAAACACAACTTCCACAAAGGTTCGATAATCGGCACCCATAACCGATGTGCCGAGGTACATGTTTTGACCGGTCGGGTTGTCCAAGATACTTCCGACTCGAAAAACACCTCCAATCTTGAAGTAATCTGCTAGTTTCAGAGGTGTATCAGCTGGAACAAAAGAGACACTGTTAACACCATATCTTTGCTTCCCGTTTACTTGATCAGCCGTGCTCACTAGCTTGATTGTTCTAGTAATGTTAATGAGACCATAGTTGTATGAGCCCTGTGGATTCGGCCTTGGACCACTTGCAGACAAGTTTGTCCTGAAATAACACCATTACACGATCAAGAACATCAAAAGACAATTAAAGGGTTTTCAAATAGGCATTAAACAAGGAACAAGAAGCTTGTACCTGATGGATCGAGCCTGGTTAAGAGACCAATCGATTTGGTCAGTTGGTCCAACAGGAATTGGACCTGAAACTGGTTTGTTTGAGTTACTGTAATGAAGAGAGGCAGTGCTGAAAAGGATCTTGTCTGTGAACCGAGTTGAGGCAAGAATGTAGAAATCTTGAGCAGCTTGATCCATGGTAACAAGCACAGAATAGGACTGACCGACATGGACATCAAGTGATTCATAGATGGTTTGAACGGTGTGGGTTCCCTCTACTTCCACTAGCTTCATTTTGTGACCCTGAATGCGGAAATTTAATGAATTTTGAAGCCCAACGTTGGATATCCTAAACCTGTAAGTTTTACCTATGAAGATTGAAGAATATCAATAATGTTCATCATCTTTGCACAATCAAATAGAAACCTATCAGCTGCCAAATTTTATTCAAGGGAAAAATGGACCACCTTGTTCAACTGTAAAGGAAGCACCATTTGATCCATGACCATTGATTAGAATACCATCAGGGGAAGGAAGCTTATGACCGCCATCTAGCTTAGCTTTCAATTGCTGCAATAATGATAAGCTGAATTCATATAACTAAGCAATAATATAATTCTGATAAGATATCAACTTTGTGTTATAATTTACCCTGTGGTCATGATTAAACCAGTCTCCAATAAGAAGGGTGAAATCGCCAGCAGGTTCTGGGAAAGGCACCGGAATTCTGGGTCGACTAACGATCCTGATGCCTCCGAAGCCGCCAGCCGCTTTGTGGAAAGCAAGAGAAGGGAAATAGAAAAAGCTTCCTATTTGATCCTTCACCTGTAAAATGTAGGTGAAATTCTTGCCTGGTGGGATTGGACATGTAGTTCCGTACACCCCATCTTGGTACGAGTTTCTCCTTTGTTGCAACCCGTTCCTGGTTCATATTGGCAACCACACTCAGTTACATAACACGAAAACAAATTCCAACATAAAAAATGTTCATTGGTTCAAATTACTTACCATGATAGAAGAAAAGGTTCATCCAAATTGTTGTGGACATTGATAATTAGATTGTCATTGGTAACAGAATAGATATCAGGACCTGGAAATTGTCCATTGATAAGAATTCCCTGAAAAAGAGAAGCCAGATGAGATACCAAAACAAAGAAAATCAATAATAATAACTTACAGAGCATATAATATTAAGTTTTGAAAACCTGCTGGCGGACACCAAGTGGGGAAATATCACCGTAAGTAATACTCCAGTCGAAGAACCTGTAAGGACTCTCGGCCTCGACGACGATAACAACAACAGCAAGAAACAAAAAAGCAATATATGTTTGCCAAAACATTCTCTTTTACCACTAAAACTACAAAGACTTGAATGAGGTGTCTAGTAACTGTTGACTGAGTTATTCAGAATACTGAACAAATTAATGAAATAAAGAATGAAAGAGAGTTGGACGATTTGGAGAAATTAATCGTGTTTTATAGTGAGAATGGTGATGAGCATGAGCACTCTTTATGGAATATGGACGGCTCATGATTTTTGTGCAAGTTCAATGGATGGATGATGATTTGGTTTATGGAAATTTTGGTTAAGGAAATAATTGTACGCGGAGAGTGTAAAGAAAAATGGGTTCTGTAATTGGGCAGTTAACTATTGGCAGCATGGTGACAGTGGGTTTTCATGTGTGAATTTATTATACCCTGCTGCTAAATTCAGTCACTTGAAAGGAGAAAATAATATAAATTACCTCAAGTATTATAGAGAGAAAATGGTGATGAAAAAAAACAAAATAGGATTATAATTAAATTTACTACCAAAGAAATGGAAAAGAAATCAATGCACATGTTTGCTATCTCCTCATTTTTATAATTTTCATTGTTATGTTATATCTAGATTCTCACAAAATCACTTAAATATTATTATGGAGAAAAATAATTCCTCAATATTATCCCATCAAAATTATTTTTTAAAATATGATAAAATGAATTATATTAGATAAAATCGTATGATGATTCGACGTCTTCACAGAGAAGACGTCAATCTTACATACGTCTTTATAAAGATTATAAGATGTCAAATGTTCAATTATGCACTATACCCGTCACTGTATTTGATAAAATAAATCCAAGAAATCACTAAATAGAGATTTTTTTTTTCAATTCATTATTGTAGTGATTTTGCCTTTGATTTCTTTTTGGAGTTGGTCAGGGACGGAATCAGGATTAAATCATGATGGGATAAATTGTTTAACTTTAAAATAAATAAGGTCCTAAAAGATATTTGACTACACAAATTAAGAGACGGATTTAAAATTTAAAGTTCTTTAAAAACAATTAAATCACAAATTTAGGATAAAAGATTAAGTCTATTAATTTTAAAAATTGACAATGTCCTAGTAAAAAATTTTAGGAAGGACAAAAGTTATTTGTAATGGTTCAAAACTATGAGTTACCTAAAATGTAATTAGTCTATCAAAATTAGAAGGAGTGTTGACTACTATTCTCGATAAGGATCTCTTTCTCAATAGTGATGATGACTCTCACTTGTATTCAGACGAATCTATACTCTAGTCTACTTGGATCATGGCCTTGCTCATGCCTCAAAATAATTGAATATATATATATATATCTAATAAATAATTTATATATATAATAATATTTTAATGTTTAAGGCGTTCAAAATTTTAATAAAATGATATAATTTTTAAGAATTTTCTGATACTCAGTTGCTGCATATATATTTCTATATGGAAGTAGTAGATTTGACAAGATTATAATCTAAGATTTAGCAAAACTTGAAAAAAAAATCTTTTAATTAGTAAAAAAAATAAACTTTATACCGCCATTATATTAAATTCGAGTAAATTTAAATAATTTATGATAATTTTCATAAAATTGTAAGTCAAATTCATATATAAAAATCAAGCTCAAATACAAATTAAATTTATATTACCTCAATAAATTTTATATTATGAGCTAGATATTTAAATACTATGTTTAAAAAATAATATCAGAGATGTCGTCAATAAAACATTAATAAAAATACATTAATTGTTAAAACATTATTTAAATGTTAAACTAATATAAAATAAAAATATTTAACAAATTTACACCGCAAATTAGAAATATGCAACAAAAGAACTAATATGAATACGAGAAACATTCTCAAGGAGGAATCTGATTGGAAACTGAGAAAACCATATGCAGCTGAATTCGAGAGTGTATGGTCATATACCAGGAGGCTCGGCACAAGACGAGTTTCCGAAAATGTAATATCTCTCTACTTAATAAAAATGTAAAAACAAAGTTGCATATTGGCTAACAGGTACAATGATATAGAGTGCAGAATTATTGTCTACTGATATATCTTCACAATCAGAGTTGTTTACAATAAGATATCTGTACTTTTAGGTACTTAAGCCGTTAAAGCACCACTGGCACAAAATCTGTACAGATGCAATTATATTTGACAAGATAAACAATTACAACTAGAGAAATATGAAAGGAGACCGATACGGCCTATTATTAGTCTTATCCCGAAAGTAGATGGCAATAATTTTATACTAAATTACAAGATATTCGACGAGCAAACTTAGCTTGATAATCAGGGAAATACATCCCAATCATGAAGCAGAAGTAGAATACGAGCTACGTCGATTCTCCATTGTCTAGTTGTGCCTGTTGCACCTACCAAAGATTCTCGTATAAGAACGGATTGCAGCAAAATCTTGGTAAATAACTAAACACCACAAACACACTGCAAGTAGTCAAGAAGAGGCAAAATCTCTAAACTTCCATTAACAGTCAATGCAATAATATGAAAACGTGCATTTCTGAATTGACCCTTTTTTGGCAACCTCATCGACAGAGTGTATACCAAAATAACCCTACGTTGAATCCCAATCCAAATTCAAATTGCAACCCATCGACGGTAACCATTTAAATGCATTGCTTCAAACTAACAAGGCCATGCCATCAAGTGTTGTGCTTTCCTCTAGTTTCAGAACACTTTACAGACAATTTACTTGCATAACAGAATATGAGATTCACAAACATTTCAACAGAATTGTTCATGATTTTGTGCTCAGTGTTTCCATGATTCCTCTTAATTCAATGCACAAAGAAATATGAGTGTTGCAACAGCGTAGATAATTGAAAACGATAAAAAAAAATACTCAACCAAGATTTCAGCAATGTGAAGGAAAATACTTACATCCATTAGTCTTGTTGAAGTCCACCAAGGTGGCGGCCAAAACAGCTTGGAATATGGAGGAAACTTCTGTAATGGTCCTATAGAACCATATTCTATATCAAATACACCAACATCACACCGCTCCGAAGATTCGTCATCTCCAAGAGATAAAAGAAATTATCTGCAAAAATGATGCAGTTCCCTCTACACACATTCAAATCTTCCACGGAGGCAGAAAAGGAACAGTCGTCACCCAGAAACAACACTCGATCGTCCAAATTCTTAACATCAACCCACTGCTTACCTACTTCATCCAACTTAAAAACGTTAAATCTCACCGTCCTCTCATTCATATAAAAAGCAATATTTTCGAAATACTCATCAACAAAGTCTAAACCAGCCCACGAACACGATCCCTCCGGGGCTTCAATACTCAAATACTTATCGACCAACAATAACTCACCCTTTGACTCGACCAAAAACTTCTTGTCACCACCAAAAACAGGCATGGCAGCCTCACTTGTTTCGAAGCCCAATCCCACAAGCACAGTCCTACCATTATTATCAACAGCATAGAAGTTCCCTTCATACAATATCACATCATCATAAGGAGATGACATGTCTTGAATGATGGTCCATTTCTTATCACTAGACTTAAACATTGCTAATTTCCCAGAAACATGGATTGTAAGCAAAACATAACCATTGTAAGGGTTATTTTCTAAACATGATATAACAACTTTTTCCATGTACAAGTTGCCCGCATCACCTAGATAACTGAGGCGATTTAAATAATGAAGCACGTATTCTTCACCCAATTCAACGATGCTAAATTCCAATAAGTTAAAAGATTTGGGGAAATTATCAGGGAGAGAATCGAAACGGGACCTTGAGAGAGGATTCAAGAGCTGGACTCTGTTGTTTGGTCCATCTTCTTCGATTTTGACTACCCAGGAGGTCGACCGGTCTGTTTCGGTATTGGATTTGGACGATCGCAACAGAAAACGATGCGTTTTGATAGGGAAAACCCGTAGGAGGTATTCGCCATGCCACCCTCATCGGGGAGGACTGGGAAACTCGGAGCTAAACGGTGGCGTTTAGGTGATGTTACGGTGGACCGCCACGTTGAGCAAATGGAACGGAAACGATTGACGTCGAAGGAGTTGTGTAGACGCTTGGAAATAAGGTAAAGGAGTTCGCCGGGGAGTTGGGTCCAATCAGCCATCGCCGATTTTCCCGAGAAAGTGATGGAAAAGTAGCAGAACAACGTGGTTGGGAGGAACCGTGTACATAAAAGAAGAGGGGGTGCCCTCAAATGGGCTATTTGTTTGGGCCAAGTCCAGTTATAAAGTTATCTCCTTTGCTTAAAGCAACCATTATCTATTTATTTACTTTCCAACTCGGTGTTGGAATCCATGGAGACGATGCTTCTTTGAAATATAGAAATAAAATGAAATATAGAAATAAAATGATACAATTCATTTCTCGATGAAAGAAAAGCTGCTTCTTTGAAAACATTTGGAAGCTGTTCAATCAATGGAGACGATGCTTAAAGCTTAGTGGGAGCATCATCGAGAAATGAATTGTTTCTTCCAACAAAAATACTAGCAAATCCATTCAACAACCTCAGCCTTCAGTTCTTCTAGGTTGTTATTGGGGGTTATTCGGTTAACTTGTATGTTCTGTCATGGAACAACAGAGGACTTTGACTCAAGAATCACTGTCAACAATATTAGCAAATAATTTCACCAAGCTTCAGTCCTTCCCTGCGTATGAGCAGGGTGCGTTTCCTTGTATATACTGAACTAAGGACTTTGACTAAAGAATCACTGTCAACAGCATATCACAATATCCTTTATGACTACAATAATATTATATCTACGATTACTATAAACGCAATTCAATTGAAAACACAATCTAAACGCAACTTAAATCCCTATTCTTTCTTTTGACTGTTGCACTTGCACACAATCACTCTCATGGACCTTTGTCAAGATCTTAAAACCAACACTGATAAAAGGAGAGAAGGAGAGACAGAACTCTCTCTTACTTTTATTGAAAAACTTCCGTGCTATCTCCAAAGGAAACCAGCCCTTATATACAAGGAAACTCTTTAGTTAGAAACGGTCTAACAACCTTAATCGTTTCTTA